CGCTGTACTTTTTAATAAACCGAAAATACAATACTCTGTCGAAAGATTGACGGCACGACCCGTTCCTCGAAAAAGCCTGGCAACGATTATGGAGTCGGCTTTATTTATTATATGTGCAAATAGAATTGAAGATAAGTTGTCGGGGATGAGACTCAACTTTCAATCAGGCTTGTTCTATTTCTTAAGTACTTGATCAAAGGTAAGCTTATTGAAGCCTTTAAAAGCTCAGCAGGCAACATCGAGCAAGTCCTATCTTTGGTTTGAGGTATTATACTTTAAAATTATCATAGCTTTTTTCATCTAATGGAACAGTAATCCGACTTACATAGATGATCAATAGTGATATACACGTGAGACGATTAAAATTTTCAGAAGATCAACAAGTTTTCCGTATTGGTTTCCTATTCCTGTTTCACACCTGAAGAAAAGATACCAGCTAGTGTTAGTTAGAACCGCATTTTCAACATCAAAGTCAGTTGTGTGATGGTGGTCGAGCTTCAATCGCCTGGGGCCAGAACTTCGATTAGCGATTTCGAAGGTGACGGCCAAATGATTCATGATGGCTGGCAAGGGCGCAGTCAAAATTGAACATACCAGTTCCTCTTATGAGAACTAGGTCAAGGATAGCATCAGTTCCGATCCTTGTAGTCGTCGCGAGAACTTCAAAAAGAAAAATTAGTAAACAAAGATCCGAGGAATATTCTCCTCAGAGGAGCCGGTCTAAGGTGGTGCTGGCACTTCCTATTCAATACTCGGCAGATTAGAATTGCCAACGGTAGCAGTCTGTGTCTCATCCAGCCCGCATTGTTCTATGTGATAGAGGTTGCGCCGACAGCTGGGTTGCTAAGAAGGAAGAGACACAGACAAGGCGATAGTTTAGCTGTATCAAAGTACATCAACGACAACTGCTTCAATAATCGTGAGGGTGAAATTTATTTCATACGTGATATGATCATGCACCAAGGTGCGCATACTTGCGCCTTCCGTACTGAATCAGTCGCGGCGAAAAAACCTGCAAATGCCGGCAAGCAATCTAGGTATGATAGAAAGGAAAACTATGCTAGTTTCTTGACACAGCCGGTAGACGCATAACGTTTAACCGATGGCTCCAAATTCAATTGATTTGATGTATCTTAAATTGTGGAGATGAAAAAAGATGCTCCATGCGAACATATCTGTCGAAGTCGGCTTCCTATCACTTGGGCCATTTAAGAGATACTTGTTTTAGGCTGCGTGAACGAATTGGCGACTTAACACGTCCAATGATACCTGTTCAACGTGTGTTAAATTTACGTCAGAGAAATGAACTCTTATCGGTTACTGTCCTTTAGTTCTGCTTGTTGTAAAAAGCTAACAAGTTATTAAAAAGAAGTCCAGACTTATAACGCCATATTCCTGCTAGGCTTTTTGTTGCTTTGGATACATTGCTGTGCGCAGAAATTCAATATAGGAAAAATACATTTAAAAAAAACCATAACTCTTATTCATCGCGTCAGTTTTCGGAGGCGTTCATCAGTTAATCTATTTGAAAGCAGCTGACATAAAACTAAAAACAAATAAAGCTTGCGATAAAAATAATTAGTAATTTTTTTCTGCACAAGAATAAACATATCAGATTGTGCAACTGCCAGAAAATTTAAGCGCAGAATTTTGATATACCTAATGCAAAAATGCTCGGTATCAAAATGGGAACTTCCTGTAAACTGTCTTCATTGTTTTTTTAGCGTGTTAGCTAAAGCTCTCTCGACGTCTCCCCCGACCCCTGTCGCTATGATCTTCGTTAATTTTTTTTTTATTTCAGCAGTACTTTTTATGTCGTTGGCAAACCAACAACACATTTTGCCTACAGACGCATATTGGCTGAGAAATAGAGGAAATGAATGATGAAACACGTATCATTAATCATGATTACACTATGATATATATGTGTATAGTCGAACTGTTGCAATATACCACAGCATAGACCAAACGCAAATACTGTTGATGTAACAATGATACGGTGAGTTGATCTTCTGCTCGCCGGTGGTCCGCTCGGCGTAGACGACAGGAAAATTGTTGACGGATATAAAAGTCATTAGAACCGTTCTTCCCTACAAGTTAAGTAGGAGGTTCTTGGCCTACACAAAGGGCTGATGCTTGGAGGAAGCTAAAATACCTCTCTTTCTCTCTCCTCGTTTTTTCTATGACCTGCTCCTTGAGGAGACTTGGCGTTCACGTTTGTTCCGTTTAGCCCTCACGGATTGTGCCTACGGCCATGATGATAAATGTTACGCTTATGCTTGAACTACCGGAGTTCTGCAACATCCTATCTGCGTGTTTGCCCTTTATATCAGGTGATGCTTCTAACTCGAACGGAACAGATGACAGATGGGGAAAAACGGGACTACTGCACTGGTGCCCATTACTACGAACAAGCGTAGTAGAGGTAAATGAAAATCATAAAGCTTACTCTGTTGTTTGGAAGGCCGAGAAAAGCAAATTTTAGAGACAGAAGAAGTACGCACGCACGCACACACACACACAGAATCGTATATGCCACCCGATGCAGCGATATCTGAAAAAAGATATGAGATAAGTCATGCACGTATTAAAGTAGTTAAATAGATGATACATGTCATCCTACAGGCGCGAGTAGCAATAGCTATTCCGATCGTGATTAATGGTTGAAAGCCTTCGGGGTTTGAATCTGTACATGTTGCACCACATAATGTGGGATTTAATTTAACCCAGGTAATCACCGATACTCAGCCGCTATGGAATATATTTTGATACTTTTATTTGTCATAGAGGTACTCTCCATTAGGTGTTAGGGTTACGTTCAACGTAAAAGCTACAAACCCTTAATCGCCTTCATTTCACTATCATTGTTGTCTTGTTTTGTGACAATCACACAGTTCCTGCAGAGTTATAAGGCTACAGAACCCTTTCTAATATCCAAAAATACTAAGCTCATAATAGGTACCTTGTATGGCACTGCTTCTACCTGCTGTATGGGAAGTATCTTTTTATGAGCATTTTTATTACGAGCAGTTGAAAATAACGTACGTGTAATATATAAAAAAATGATTTGAGGATTCCCGTAGCTTACAAGCGACTTTTGTAATTCAATTAATGTACAGACCCATAGTATGTACGTATTTTTATTTTTCCTTTACATTGGACCCAGTTTTAACCCGCTTTATCTATCCGTAATGATAATAAAAAAAAGAATAGTTATCGTCTTTACAATTGCAGAATTTCAGCTGTGCGGAAGTTTAAATTTTTCCCAAAGAAAATGAACCTCAACCTATAACTAATAAAGTCAGATACCTATATGCGTATGGATGTGTGCAAGCCTTTTAAATGAAATTATTATGCACCGCTTAATAAGAGTAAGGGGATTGGCTTTCTTGTATTAGCAGTTAATTTATAGCAACTCAGCTAATTATGTTTTGCGGTAACCCTGCTGAGGTGTGTGTTGCATTCACGTTTCGTCGTCAACCTTATTAAAAATCCAGTACTTTTTTTGTGTTTTTGCGTAGAAGTGTATGTAGGTGGCAAAAATAAACCCAAAATGAATAGCGCGCTAAGTCTTTTCGAGTTCTTCGGGTAAGGTACCCCTTCCAGGGGCGTAAACCGAGGCGCAAGGATGAAATAACCTGTGGGTGTTTGTTGCTTTTTTCAGGGCTTGTGAAAGCGCGTTAAATGCACTTATTCTAAAATTGGCCTACATGTAGATCAAATGACATATTATTCTGTTGTCATATATACGCATTTTATTTATAAAGCTTAACACATATCTTTTTTGAAGAAAAATATTAAAGTATATGGGAGTTTGGTTCTCCTTTTTTGCCGCCGTGCTTCTTAATAGATCATCCTATCGATCCTTTCTTCTCGAAAAACAAAAAAAAAAAACAAATAGGGAGATGATATTGCTACGTCACATGTTTGATGGCGTGAAGATTGCCCACAAGCCCCTAAAAGATCAGAGCTATTTTTTCGATATATTTCACGAAAAATATTTCACGACATTTACGGTTGTACGTCCGTCGCTGTTTCGTCCCGGGACCCAGTGGGCATGCACGTGCGATAACAGCGCTAGCGGCAATGATAGTGCAACATATATTCACGATTCAAGACCCCGTGATCTCCGCCTTTCGATGGAGGAAACGCGCAAAGGAGGCATGACAAGCTCTCGCTTCCGCCAGAACGGCATAAAACAGTACCAACAACAAAAGCACTTATATATTTATTTAACACCCACAGGCTCCGGGATACCGAAAACTTAGTAACCAGTGATGCCGCTAGTTTCGCCAAATTTAGCTTTCACGTAGACAACGCCGAACGCTCCTTGTCCTCGTTTTCGCCTCTGCCGTCTTCATTATCGTTGTCGTTGATTTTCCCCTACAGCCTTTCCTTCTCATGTTCCTTCTCCTTAGAAAAACGTAAAGAAGAGCGATCACCGCACACGAGGTGGCAAAAATGGCGACGACGGCGTCAGCGACCCTAACATAAACATAAAAGTGGTGGTTCTGGCCGCGTCGTGGTAGCGGACTGCTATTTACAGCAGGCGCAGAATACGTGTAATGAATGCAGAGAAAAACGTCACAAATTGGTAAAAATTCCCCGTGCTTACCCAAAGAGAGCCAATCGTCGTGCTTGCTAACTTACCGATTGCCCATATAGCGTACTGGCCCCCTTTGTTGGTGCTGCCATGTCTGTTGACCAGAAACTCTACCAGTTCTCGAAACTTTGTTACTCATTAAGCAACTTTCTTCAGAAAAAAAAACACGCTAGAAGTAGACATTTTTTGTATGATCTCTTTATCTTCGTTTTATGTCGAGTTGTATATGGAGAGAAAAATCGCAACCTTTCGAAATGGTCACTACCAATACGTGATCTCAGGGAGTATAGTAACTTCGAAATGCATCGATATAAATCTATACATACACAGTCATAAAAGATTTGTCTATGAGATCGTATACTTTTCATCCATATGTTTTACTGTAGAAAATAACAAAGCATACATCTAGTTTTAAGTATCTTGACCACTGTGAAAAATATCGTGATTATTTTTTTTATTTAAGTTATATTGGGCGCGAAGTTAGCTTTTGCAGTATGTCTTATATAAGTGATTATGTAGGTGGTTTGATGGAATCCCTCCTAGCCCATATCTATGCGAGCGGAAAAACGTCGGCGTAATTCTGTTCAAATAACGATACTAATATGAAGGTTAACTCTTGCAGGAATATCAAATCAGGACACAGGTACGTTTCTTTTCGTGATCGAAGATGTAGTAATGCATATCAACAGGAGTGGCGTAAATGACTCTTAGTAAAGCAAAGCTGAGACAGTTTACTCGGTTTTTCATATGTATCCATATATATATCGTACTCCACATATATATGCGGGGTACGGTACCTCCTTGGGATTCCTTCGTATGCTTTGTTCGTAAGGCTGCATCTAAATAAAAATAAATATTTTGACAAAATCCGTTACATGCACTAAAAGTGTCATTTATGTTTATTCAGTATGACCAGCATCCCATCGCAGTCTCCATTTGGGCTCTGAACAGCTCAGAGGGCTGTTTCAGGTGTTTCCTTCGCGATTCCGCAAAGGCCTTATTGACAGCACGAGTGAATGAGTAAGCATTGTCATATTGAGGCTTGTTGAAGGTTCGCTTGACGATGCTCGATGCGTAGGAATTCAACGTGTTCCAGTCTGGATAAAATAAACTTATATTCTCAAGCAACACTAGTTGGCTTGTGTGTGCCGGTACGTCATCTTGTATGTCTAAAGGATGTATGCTCTTCTTTATGCTATGCACACTTACGCAACAATTTCTATAACAGATAAGCAGATAAACTTCTTTAGTTCGTGTTTTGAAAAGAAGCATGGTAGCATGATGCCTCACTCATTGAACTCCATACTCAGAACAAAATTTCCCATTAGAAATAGTCGACGACTGTCTGCTGCCTCGTCCATAAGACCACTGAATAGCAAACCGTACCTGTCGGATCTTTAGTTTTTTTTGTTTCGCTAGTTTCTCGGTGAGGGTTCGTCCAGCGTGTAAATATTCGATATTAGCTTATACTCGCTCAAATTCCAGAAACAACATAGTTTTAGCGAGGTTGTTTTTTGTTGCAGAAACAACTGGTTTTAGTCTGGTGTTAAAAAAGCGGACGCCCGCAAACGATCTGCCGAAGTCTATCCGAATTTAAATGTCATATATATATATATATATATGCGAAAATAGTGTTTTCTAGAACAAACTCGCTATGGCGAAACACAATTGGTCGTTTGTGGAATTTGCACAAAGATAATTATAATTAGTTAATTTATTTAATGGGCGAAGAGTCAACAGGACTAAAAACTTTGTTTTGTCCGAAATCAATGGGCTATTATAGTTATTGCAAGTTCTCACGCAACCTTAGAAAAGACGAAAATATCCACAATATAATTTACTCAAAATTTATTTTTGGACTTTTTATAGCGAAAATGGTGGTCGTTTTGAAAGGAAAGGTATCAATTGGGTCATGGAAATAAGCTCCAACAGTTAGCCTTTTTGAGACTTTATGCGTTTCTGTGTATTTTTTTTTTAATATGTAGAAATTTTTATCATTTACATTTGGGAAACTTTGGTCTGTTATCGGTCCAAAATTGAATTCCGCTATTTTTTTTTCCGATTTTTTGTGTATAGCGTATTTAAACAGTACTTTGCCGAGCTTATATTTACCAATACCGCTTGGCGCAGAGTTACTATTGAAGAGTTATTTGCGGAATAAAAGGGAAGTATTTCGAAAATTGCCAGTGAGTGTTCTAGGTTTTAAATTGAAGTGGTGACGTTGTAGATGGTGGCTGTATTGAATATTTCTGACCGTCAGGGATAAAATTTATAACGCACGCAACACAGCATAAGATAAACTCCGGATTAAAGCGCCGCACCCCATATATTGATATATTAGTGAACATATCAGCAATGACATTTTTGCCAGTTGACAAAGCACACGACGTCTCATTCAAATTCTAGAAACAGAGTAATTTATTTTGCATTGATCTTCATTTTCCCCATCTCATAATCAATTTATTTGTTTTTTATGGACAAAATTTGTTGAGTCTGATATTGAGGAAAGACCCCACTTAGGTTTGGAAAAAACCCCTCATTATCATATATATGGTTACTGATTCTATTCGTCTATAAATGGAAAAAGCAATCGTATGTACGCGCAAAGTTTAAAGAATATCACAGATAGAAAACAACCACTTGAGTAAACCAAACACTTGAGTAAGTTTTTCAGGGCAATTTACACGATGTTTACCGTACATGGCCTGGCATTACCATGGAAAAGCTTAACTTTGCCTCGTTTATCACGTCTTTTCTTCAGAATCGCTTCAATGTAGCCGGGCTATCTACAAATCCTTGTTAATTAACTTGTTCTTCAAGCATCTCGCAAAACGCAAAACCCTTTCAGGCCCATTAAACGCGAAACGTAGTCGTCTCGGTACGACGATTTAATTTAACATTACATTATTAGGCGCAACTTCAATACATTTCCATAGTTTTCTCTACTTTATATCGGCATAGAAACATAGAACAATTCTGTGCAGAAATCTGTCATTGTGCCTGCGCGCTACCCGGCGCTAACCTGAATATTGATGGTCAATAGGAAGCCGTATTTTTTGTACGTTCAACCAGTTTGTGACATATCAGACTCCTAATTTCTAACAAAATTCCATAAATTTAAATGACTGACAATTTTAAAATGTTCGCAAGTCTCCCTCTCGACCAATGAACAAATGTTTTTTTCTTTGATTGACATTGAACAAACTTCTATTGACCTCGTATAGAAGTCCAGGAGGCGGGGTGGATTTTTAAGGGGTAAAATTAAATCCTCATATTTAGCAAATCCCTTCGAGCTATAGGGTCCTTCCTATATGCGGTATAAATGCCTCGAGCTGCTTCGACAGCTATTTAACTTCGGTAAAAGTCAAAATAAGACAGACGTCAGAAGTACACTTCTTTAGACGTTCTCAATGTACCACCTTTGAAACCTGAACTCGAGATGCAACGGGTTTACTACACACTGAAAACGCAATGATTTTCTATAGAAGAGAGAACACTTTCCAATGATATGTAGAAAAAGGGCACCATCATTACTTCAGTGATATATGCACATATGACAGTTTTTTGAATTGGAATTTAGTTGTTAAAAGAGTATATACCTATTCTTTTTCGGTAAATAAAAGGCCTTTAGATAATTCGTTAAGCTTCAATTCGTTCACCTGATTGAGACAGATGACCGGACAAGCACAGAGCAGAATTTCGAAATCCGCCGGCGTCATTTTGGCCGCAAAACAGAACAAGCCGAACTCGACTTTTGTCAATACGTCATGTTTAAAGCTATTTACTAAATGGAAAAAAAAAAAAGTGGTCAAGACACCTTCATATACAATTTCGTCATTTCTCGCTCGGATCGCTTCTTCTAATGCACCAATAAAAAGTCGCGACTCAAATAATAATATAAGTAACCGATTTCTCAAGGCGATTTGGGCTGGGCGTGACTACAAATGCACGCAACAAGATCCATCTTAAACGAGAAGTGCTCGCATAATTGTCATCTTGCTCAAAACTGTCGGCTTTCCGGCAATGGACTTAGCGTTACCGTGTGGTGAGCCATTCACGATAGACCACGCTACGATCTGGGAGATCGTTTAGGGAGACTTAAAGAGAAACCTCGAATTTGCGTATAATAGTGTACAAATTCGAAATTAACTAACTGTTTACGATCAGCTACGAGCAGTAGACGCGGATAAGTTCGTTGTTTTTTCGGCAATTCGACTATATATAGTGGAAGTAAACGCCGGAACCTAATGTGGATGTGCATGATACCAAGTCAGCTGGTTGAGGCGGCACGACGTACTCTGTCGTCAGCAGGCCCAATCGGATTACATAGCAAAATGCTAAGGTCGTGCGGAGAAAACGAAAAACAGTCACGGAAAGAACACACATAGTCGATTTAGAACTTCTCGGAAGCTTGCCATTTATTTGAATGGCAACATTAGCCTGATTTTGTATAGAGCTGCATTCGGATCTTTGCTATAAGGTAGCTGCAGTATTTCTTCTATGAATATGCTTGAAAACGAGTACTAATGCTAACGAATATTGGCATACTGTGGCTGACATGATACCAGATGAAAGTTACAACTTTGTCAACTCGAGATAAATGTACGCCTTTTAAGTTGATAGATTCATCCTTAAAGAAGGACTAGAGTAGCATGGAAGGCACGAGAAGGATAGGATCATTAATGATGAGTGTCACTGATAACAATATATTTGAAATACGTCCGTACAGATTCAACGAGCACACTGCCCATTGCGGGGTACCACTGGTAGCTTTTAACTCCTTAAAAAATTAGAGAAAGATAGCAGCTACGCCTATTGTGCAATAATAATATCTAATTATAGGTAATATTAAGACTTCATTTAAAGATTGTATGTAATCAAGCATGACGAAGGGTTTGAGATAACGTCTGTTACCCACGGTATGCCGGTGAGATCTCAGCCCCTTAACCCTCTGCCATTACATTGTCCATCAAGAATCATTCTATGCCTTAATAAGGGTAGTAGACCTTATTTACTTTTCAGCTTCCTACTATAAGTACTAGCTATCGAATATTAGACACTTTAGGAAGTGCAAATAATGTTTTTAAGCACATGGGGCCAAAAAAAATACGGCCTCAGGAACGGCCACTATCAGAATGATCCTATGAAAGACACAACCATAGCACGTTCCGGTCTGTCCAAAACACGGTAAACAAGAAACATACGCACGAATATATAAAAAAAAACAATAGCAAAAATCCCTGTTCATCAGCCCTAGCCACCTTCACACGTTTTCTTTCCTACTCTATTATATCTATGGTTGTTTTTATTTACTAGTCTTACAATGGAATAAATTCCATTCTCGGGACCACCATGAAAATGACTGGATTTGTTTCGGCAATGTTGAAGGAGATTATCTATTGAAGCGTCGAACAGCAACAGAAGCAGTAACAACCATTCAGTGAAGCTGTACGAAGTGGTGAAGAGGATGGATAAACGGTCAAACGTCGAGGTATTACGGGTAACTGATCAAATTGGAAGAGAGCTAGCCGATAAGTGAAAAAAGCCCATTAGGGGGTGCTGCTGCTGCTGCTACACCTGTTATTGCTAGCACTCTGTTCAAAATAAGATAGACATTCCTGGGACGGCAGCCCGACCGATTGCCGATTGCTGGGGACGAGCATGTGTTATGGGTTTGTGTTCCAGCAGTGAGAACTCAACGACCGCTAGCTGCTGCTATCATTATGCTTTCATATTACAACTCGTTCCATGATTTCGCCCTACCATAACAACAGAACAGCTAGCGGTTTTGTTGTTAGACGCTGGAAACGACATGGCTACTGTTAGATCGTCGTCACCACAGCAGGTAGCTTAGCACATATACCAAATAACAGTTATAAGAGACTAACATTACCAGTTGCTGCTGTTGTAGTACACAGACAGATGCACAGAGGCGTCTGAGACATTCTTTGAGACGATGCTGCCATTAGACGTGAGCAAACGAGCGAAAGCAACCCAGTCAACGACGACGTATCGAGGGCTGCTGGTGATGTCGACGCCGCAAGCTGAAGTGGGGGAGATATATCAGGTGGTGGGGCTTAAAGCAGAAGATGAAGTTGACTTGTACAATGCCTCGACAACGATTGCCACGGCAGAAACGTGATGCTGATGTCGTTGTCTACCTATCTATCTGTCTGTGTGGCCTGATTGTTGGCACTGTGAGAACCATTGATAACCACTGAGTTAGCTAGTCTAGTAATTAGACAATGGCAAAATATCGGCATTTCTGGCAACTAGCTCACACAGTATAGTAGTATCCGTTAGCAATCAGGACGCTGTTCTCATCTAGCTCGGCTGTCGTAGGTATGCAAGAAAGTCTACGACAATATACTCGAGTTCGCAATCAACAGTGACACTGTATAATCTTCAGGCCACTATCGTTATCACCATCGTCCAGGCGACCTCACCTATCAATCAATAGTTCGATTCCGAAATTTTCCGTGACTCTATACAGCCTTCAACATGGCCGCACATATTTTCCCTAGAGTTGACGAATACTGCAGATGCGTAAATTTTACAAATTTACTCTAACAAAGTAGCTCAGGTGTACGAGAGAACCGACTCTGTGCGCTAAATGAATGGACACGTGTCGAATTATTACGTAGATATTGTATGACCACTGGTTCAAAGATCTGGGCCGATGTCCCGCTCAAATAGAATTTATGAACGAAAAGCCCAAGAGGCGTATTGTAAAGTTTAAGCAAACTATTTTATGTCAATTACACATAAATCTAAGGCTATAACTATTCAACTTGAAGAGATGGTTAGTTCGGATCATCTATTGTTCGATTGGAGCGTATGCATATATATATTCGAAACATCATTGTCAGTGTTAAGCCTGCGAAAGTTCGTCATCGGCCTTTATTTCCTTCCGAACGTCCTGTAGCATCTTATGTCTAGAGCAGCAGAATTTAGCGCTGAATAGGACGGCTCAGCGATACCGCATACGTGTAGCTCGTGGGACATATATCGTAGCTAACTGGCTATTTCTGCTATTGGCTTTGTTGCCGGTGTGAGCGTTGTTGTTTTGGCTGTGTCTGTCCAGGATCTGTGGCATGGCATCCACGTGTCCGGCCCTGACTTCACCGTGCCGTCGTTGCGTTCTGCCTCCGCTTTTTTGCCTCGAGCTTCAGCTTTGGGGTTAGTGGCATCGTCTCGTCCGTCTATCTGTTTGTCGGCCGCAGGTCGCCGGCCGGCCGGCCGGCCGTTCGATGCTTTGCGGCGCGGTGCATTCCAGAATGGCCGAACGTTTCGCCGGTTGTTGCTGCTGCTGCTGCTGCTGCTATTGTGTAGTCAGTTTCAGCAGTAGTCCGCTGTAGTAGTTGTAGTAGTAGTTGTTGTCTAGCTAGCTCGATTCTCGATTCAGCGTTGCACTACAGTACTCGTTTGTTGGTTTGTCAGCATCGCGGTCGTCGCCGTGGCCGTCAGCATCGGAATCAACGCCAGCATCAACCGCTACTGCTGCCGCCGCCGCCACCGCCGTCGTAGCAGTCAACCAACAGCGGCTTGAGCAGCGGACCGCGGGTTGTTTCACCCTCGTTCTCGTCTGACGTTGCTATCGCCGCTGTCTGACGTCTGTGCTTTGATGGCTTCAACGGCCGCGGCCAGCGGCTCACGGCTAGCGAATGCCAGTGAGCGATTCAGGAGGCATGCCACCCCGTGTCAGACACTTGCTGTATTGCCACTGTTGGCAGACGAACCGGCGAGAAACCGCCGGCAGAAAGCAAGTTTTTCGCCAAGCTCGATTTTCTGGTCTGCTCACCTTTAAAGCGTGAGCCACTTCAACGGCAGCTATAACTGCGCCATCTCATGCTTTCTCCCTTAAACAAACACCGTTGCTTATTGCCGCTGCCACGTCTCATAAAAATAGCGCCAGCATCAGCATCAACGCCACCACGGACAGATGATTGTCGTGTCGGTCTTCCTTCGCCGCCGACGGGCGATGTTCTGTTTTTATATGCGATTTTTTCTGTTCTTTTTTTCGCTGGTCGGAAAATCATTTCCGTACGCAATTCCCTCTGCCGTTCTGTTGGCTGCCATTTATTATCATAACAAGTTGCGTCCTAAGTTTAAAATTTTTTTAAAAAAGATCCACTCGAAACTACTTTGAGCAAAGCTTGCGCTAATCAGCGTAGTTCACTAATTATAGAGTTTCAATATCGAAAACTAGACGTTATAAATTGAGAATACAAGATGTAAAGGACATAAATTGTGCCGTAGGGCCTTCTTGCGCAGACGAATAGGGGCGGACGGTGGTCTGGGTGAATATTTTGTCCAAAGCTATAATCATTTTCGTTGTTTGACCTGCGAAAATTGTTTAGCCTTACGGGATCGACGAAAATTCAAAAGTTCCAGCGTATAATGTCGCTCGTTATCGATTCAATCTAGTTATTTCACGTATTTGGGAATAATCTATTTAAAGATGTAGAAGTGTATTCATATACAATTTACCTATTCTCGCTACGAAATGTTAATAAATTGATAGGAACAAACACGTGTCCTACGCCCTAAGCGACCTTCTTTTTCAATTTGAAGCCATGAAAATAAGAACCATGAAGACAAGAATCCAGATTATTTCATCAGCTGTAATAGTCTTCGTTAAAGAAAATTCCATTCACCTACCGCAATGGCTCAATTTTTACTAAACACCACAAGCATTCATCTTGTTAAATGAATTAAACAATCCCTTCACGAACCGAAAGGTTGGCTCATCACTTTCTCGTTTTTTTTTTCTTTTTTGGCCGGCCGTTGTTTTTTGAAAGATGATACTTCTCTGTCTATAGTTACAGTAAAGCAGTATAAAAAAAACACGAAGCGTTCCTCTGTTTCCCTTTGTTTCGTTCGCCGTTCAGCTACCTTCTGTTTTGTACAAGCGTGTTAATAGCACGTTTCATACAGAACAAACAGCGTTTTTTTGCGTTATTCGAATTGTTATTGTCTAAAGTAGATATACGTTTATATGAATGCAACATCGGCAATCAGCAATGCAAAAACGCGGTCACAGTGAGTCGTAAGAAAAATGATAGCATGTCAGTTGTTAATGGATGTCTGATAAACCCTGAATGAGACGGATTGGCTACCCCCCGTCGTCGCTGTAGAGCACGCACCAAAAGACAACTGTCTTAGGCAACAATGTCTCAAAAATATTTCATTATCACGTTATCCTGCTTTTTTTTGACACGTTCAGTCCATATTTATATGTCTGTCTAGGTTTCGTTCAATGGGTTATGGCTTAATCGGTTAGTTTTTGTTTGTACGCAACATCCATTACGGTTCTTCGAAACGCTTTTGGGATATTTGACAACGCCTTGCTTCATTTACTATTGCTATTATCTTGCCATTGTCTTCACTCTAATTCGCGCTAGAAGTTCAGTAGTGTTTCAGTGTGAACCGCTTGCGATTTAGTCTTTTTGGGGGTAGATAGCTGACAATAGCAGAAAAGAACGCATACCAAAATATGCCAGCTTACGTCTCTTCCTGAGATATTTATCATCATGGTCATTTCGAAGGCAGCTATATAGAGT